CTTGCATACCCTCTTAGCATCCTATCACGCTATGTCGCTCCTGGCCGTCACCGGAAGGAGCACATGGATGCCGCTAAGAGGGTGTTGCGCTACTTGTGCAGTACGTCGAGCATGGGGCTTGTGCTTGGAGGACGGCGCGACGCTGTTCTCACTGGACACTCAGACGCTTCTTGGGCTGACGACCAGGCTATGCAGCGCTCGTCTCAGGGTTACACCTTCAGCCTTGGCTCTGGCTCTGTTTCCTAGCATTCTACACGCTCTTCTTCTTTTCTCAGCTCCAGTTGTGAGGCTGAGATCTACGCCACAGCCATGGCGGCCCAGGAGCTACGCTGGCTCACCTACCTGCTGACCGACCTCGGAGAGCGGCCGCTTTCTCCTCCAGTGCTGTACGTCGACAACGAGGCAGCCATTGCCTTGTGTGGGGAGCACAGTCTGGAGCACAGAACGAAGCACATCGCTCTGCGCTACTTCCTAGCGCGAGAGCTGCAGCAGAGGGGTCAGCTTCGTCTCTCGTACGTGTCGACTCGGGCCAACACTGCTGATGTGTTCACCAAGGCGCTTCAGCCTTGTGACCATCAGCGTTTCTGTACTGTGCTAGGCCTTGTGCCCACTCTCCCTCACCTGCTCACTTCTTGACTCTGCTTGTACTGTGATCTCTCTATATATACCTGCATGCTTACACTTGCTAGGTTGTTATCAATGTACCTCTTGTTATATTATCAAACTACTTGTGAACTGGTCTTATGACCACTTGCTTATGCTCGGAATTTGTGTGGTATCCTTGAGATCCACCCTGAGCTTGTCTTGTTTTGCTTTGATTGGTCCTGTGACCCCTTGTTCTCTCCCACTTAGCCTATGGGGGTGTGTCAAACATTGTATGTGTTATATTTGTGTAGGCTATTGTGGGTTAGCTCCTAGGGGGTACACAACTCTAGGTTTGACATACTTGTACCCTCATTATCCTTCTAGTCCAGCATTCTCGTTCACTCTTAGTTTCTCACGGTAGAAACTCTGTGGGGAGGGCGGCACGGTAGCGAGCGTCTATAGTGCGAAGGTGGGTGATGAGGTCGTCGACAGTGTCAAACGAGGACAGCTCGAGAAAGAGGTAGGGGAGAATGAGGCGGCCTAGCGCTGCACTGGTAGGGGAAGAGTAGCGCGCAACTACTGCGTCGTACAGCTCCTTGGCCGTTTTGGTCTGATCGAAGTGCGCACGCTCGGATATGGGCAGGTGGTTATGGACAGCTAATCTAGCGGCAGCGTCACGAGTGAGCCATTTCGAGCAAGGCGTGCTATCGGGAGAGGCGGCAGGTGCAAGACTAGCTCCAGACATGAGGTCATACAGCAAAACATCGTCTCTAGAGTCGCTCAGTAGGAACACTTGGAGGTCCTGTAGCCAAGTATCGAACTTAATGGGGCGGCCGTCAGGATAGAATTCGAGAACGCTGAGCGAGCCCATAGCGTCTTAGACAATGGGGCCGCGCAAGCAAGCAAGTAGGAAGCTTCTAGGAAGCTTCAAGGGCTGCAGGTGAGCCGTGCACAGAGCGGCAGCATTAGAGGGCCGGCAAGAAGGCCGGCAGGAGCAGCACGCGGGCAGGTGCGGGCGGCGCTAGAGGGTGGCTCGCGGGCCGCACGGGCAGGAAGCAGGCCGCGCTCGGGCGGGGCGGGCTGCCAGCAGGCGGTGGCGCGGGCTGCGCGGGTGGCGAGTGGGCCGGCGCGAGCTGCGCGGTCGGAGAGCGGGCTGGCGCGCGTTGCGCGGGCAGTAAGCAGGGTGGCGCGGGCTGCGTGGGCAGCGAGCAGGCCGCGCGGGCAGCGAGCAGGCCGCGCGGGCAGCAAGAAGGCCGCGCAGGCCGCCAGCAGGCGGTTCGCGGGCTGGCACGAGCGGTTCGCGGGCTGGCGCTGGCTGGCGCGGGCTACGCGCGGGGCTGGCGGGCTGCGCGCGGGGTCCTAGCGGGCTGCTCGCGAGGTCCTAGCGAGAGGTTCGCGGGTCGCGCGGGCTGCAGCTGCAGCGAAAAAAGGAAGGCCAGGCGTGGGCAGCGGGCCACATGCGGGCAGGGAAGTAGGTGGGGTAACGTGGTAACAAGGTAGGCCCGAAATTCTAGGTCTAAGGACCTCCTACTCGGATACCATATCAAGATCGTAGGAGCAGTGAATGACTGACAATCGAGAGAGTTGGGTACAAAATAGGAACAAGGAGTTGTACCCCATAGTGGCTACAGCCTAGATAAATAACCTAAGCATATATGTTTGACATAGTCTTGAGTTCTCTGCTTGTTTCGTTTGTAAGCTTTATATATACCTCTGTGAACCCTTGAATTGGCCTTGTGGCTCTTTTGCTTGTGCTCGTGTGTGGTGACATTGTGATCCACCCTCAGCTTTGTTTCTTTGGACCGTACGTTGTTGGTTTGCTTGATACCAGGGCCTCAGATTGGTTTTTGTGTACCCTGAGCACACAGTGTCCCTAGGCGGGTAACACTGATTTTCAGTGTCGTCTATTGTGAAACACTGAATTCACAGGGTTGTTAGAAATAAAACGCTGATCAATCAGGGTTTCTACAACTTCAACACTGATCAGAATAGTTGCTTACACTGGTATGCTGTCATAACACAGCGAATCAGACTGCCCTCATTCACAATTCCCAAATTCGGCCAGGATTCTGCTATTTCCGTGTCTGATTGGTCAGAAATCTTGTCTGACCAATCGAATAGGACAATTGTTAAGAATTGTTTCTGAACTCTGGTTGTGTACTTGACTGATGATTCGGACTTGGTTCGTCACAGCAGATTCGCCCTGACGGCAAATTCGGCCTCGCACAGTCGTTACGCGTTGTCGCAGCACAGCAAATTCGCCCAATCACAGCAGATTTGCCCTGACACAGCAGCAGATTCGCCCCACACAAGAGATTCGCCCTGTCAGAGCATGTTTCGCCAGAAATCCCCTTGGTGCACGGTGCACAGTGACGGCACGCCAAAACAAGGGCCCTGTTCGCCACGACCACGATATAGGCAAGGGGCGGGGGATGGGCGAGGGCTCCAGAAGGTGCGCCGGAAGATGCGAACTACGTCCGGGGGCTCGCCCCGAATGGAAATTTCTCCAAAGGGATCCGGAAGGGGGCCAAGGGGATCTGGCACCTCCCCCCCCACCTTCGTTTAGGGCGGGACTTTTTTTCCCGCCTCTGATCCACAACCAGAGAAAAAAAAGAAACAAATCAGCCCGGGTAAAAAGTGTCGAAAAAAGAAAAGGTCCTTCACAGTTGCGTTTAGGGTTCCGTGAACTTGAAGCAGCTGTCTTATCACTCGGGAGGGCAAAAATTTGTTGTTCCGGGCCGGTTCTGGTGACACGTTGGCGTTTACCCTGCCCTCAAATCCCCCGGCCATCCCGTTAGGCGCCTACGAAATTGGTGGTCTGCACGAGGGAGAGTCGATGGAGGGGATGGGGTTCCGAGCTGGCAGGACAGGAAACTGCCAGGCGCATTCTGGATCCCCCGCCCATCCCTTCGATGGCCCAGAAAAGTGGGTGTTCGCCACGACAGCGAGCCCTCCGAGGTTCGGAGGGGATCGTCAGGCTCGACAGGATTTTGTCGGTCTGACCGGCCCTAAAACCCTGATTTCACCCCTTTTCGAAGGTGCAGGGCGGATTCCAGATCCCCCGCCCATCCCTCTGAAGGCCCAGCAAAGGCGTGGCGAACAGGGCCAAGGAGTTTTCGGTTTCAGGGTAGACCCCGGTACAACACCGACTCGTCAGTGTCCACCAACACAAAACACTGGAAAATCAGAGTTCGAAATTTAAAAACACTGAAACATCAGGGTCGTTGAAAAAAAAAGGCTGATGCATCAGGGTCATGATAAAAAATGGGGGTCAAACTTCAGGAATTCAGGGTGAAATTCCTGACATCTGAGGCCCTGCTTGATACCCCTCACTTAGACTATGGGGGTATGTTAGACATTGTAGTCTTATGGGGTACATTATTTAGAGTAGGTTCATGTACCCCAACCAACCTTAGTCAACACATTCTTCTGTTCTTGATAAAATGCTACACCTTATTTGCCAACTGAAATATATCATGCTGTAGAGAGCATGTGCAATGCGAACATACGGTAGCTAGCGTACTGCAACTAACTTGCATATACGTCTCTGAAGTTTCATAAAGTAGGGAAACAAACCCAAGATTGACTACACTATGTTGTTGGAGTGCAGGTTCTCCCTTGTTGCCTGACTCCTCCACATCTGACTGTAGCAGGGCTTGGCGGCGGAATGGTTGAGAGGTGGAGGTGGCAGTGGGTGGGGGTGATTTAGGCGGTGGGACAGGTGGTGGCGGAGGGTGAGTGGGACAACCCCCTTGTTGCAAGACAGTGGCGTTTGACTGCAGCAAGTCTCGGCTGTAGCGTTGTTGAGTGGACCTCTTGCTGGCCCAGCCAACTTCTTTTCCTGCATGGCAGAGACAGCGGTGGGACTCGGGAGTGAGATGGTGATGGCAGTGGGGCTGTTGCACAGCAGTACCAACTAGTGAGACTCACGCTTGCATTCCGGCACCACAAGGAAAACGTGATGAAGAGAACACACGATGCACACGGGAAGAGCAGAGGGGCTGGAGGAGCTTGGGAGTACACAGGAGATGGTAGAAAGGGCACGGAGTGAGGATCGTGAGGAAGGGGAAAGAGTGGCTATTTGGAGGTTTATGACGCACTCTCCCCGATGTATTCTAAAAGAGGCACGCACACACACACGCACGCACGCATGCACGCGCACGTGCACACACACACACACACACACACACACACACACACACACACACACACACACACACACACACACACACACACACACACACACAGACCTGGCGAAGGGGCTCTAGGCGGCGAGGGAGATGGCTCAAAGGGCGCGTTCTCCCCAAGGTAGGCGCCTAAAAGAGATATACATACATACACACACATACATACAGATACACACACTTACACATACACACACATACACACACACATACACACACATACACACTGACCTAGGCGGCGAGGGAGACGGAGGGCTCAAAGGGCGCGCTCTCCCCGAGGTAGGCCCCCTCCTCCACGATGATCTCCACACTCTGCTCCAGAATCTCCTGCTGCACCGCCAGGTACTCATCGTCCTCCTGGTGAAGGGAAGGGAGCGGGGTAAAGAGAAGTGGAGAGCGGTAGAGAGGGATGGAGAAGGGTGGAGACAAGTTGTACAGTATATTTTGTAAAAGAAATACAGGCTGTGTTGACGAGATAAGGCCCTGCCCTTGCTTGGGCGAAGCCGACTTCGTTCGGCGTGCAAGGTATGCAAGTTGACTTGTTTGGCCGCGGACCTCGACGATGCCGACTTCTACGGAACCGACTTTAGCAAAGTCGGCTAGAATCTGGCATACGAAGACAAGTTTACGGACGGCGTCAGACCTAGTCGGCCGATGAAAGTGATGACGTCAACCGACGAGCGCCGAAGTTGGCGCCGGCTTAGCAGTCTCTTCTGGTCAACTTGTTAACTGGTCAACGAAGTTCTGCAGGACTGCGCGAACTTCGTCGCAGGTGGTTTTGCCGAAGTCGGCCTGGAGGACGAACAGCACGTGGCCGACATTGTGCATCTTGCGCAAGCGTCGACCTGGGAACCTACGCAATGTGCTTGCGATGCAATTGTCTACCTGCACCTACTTGATATATCACACATGTGCGCACATGGTCACATGCGGTTGCAACGCTGACGGACTGTCTTGCAGCAGCGTTGGCAAGCCGCCCTTGGTGCAACGCTGACAGGTCGTCACCTTACAGTGTTGGCAAGCCGCCTTTCGACTGCGTTGGCGCCCCGTCGACTTGCGTGCTTGGCATTTGTGTTGCGTTGGAGAGCGACTTGCTCCTTGCTAGATTGCTAATGCATTCCTGCTATCATGCCATTGTGATCATTGGTCTTCAACTTTTGCTAGCAAAATGTACGGGGTTCATTCTTCTGTCAATTTCACCTACGAACACTGCAAGTTGTAACAACGTATCAATGCTGCGATCATCCAGTTTCCCCCCTCCCACGCACCATGTCCTGCACGTAGGCGATGATGCCGACCTCCAGCCCCGTGCCGGAGAGCTTCTTGAGGTACCCGAGCGTGGGGCCCTTGGTGACGTCCACCAGCGGGTGCGCGCGCAGGTACGCCGTGAGCTTCTCTGTGATGGGGCGGATGCGGATGATGTCCTCGTTGCGCAGCACAAACGTGGCCTCCAGAGCCAGGCAGCCCGCACGGGAGTAGTTGGTCACAACCTGAATGTGAGGACGGAGGGAGAGGTAGATAGGGAAGAGGAAGGGAAGGGAGGGCCAAAAAGGGGGTTGGTGTGTGATGACGTACGAAAGGAGGGAGAGCAGGGGGGACGGGGGGCAGGGAGGGCAGAGCGAGCAAGAGGGATGGGAGCACTGACAGTGGATTGGAAGAGAGGGGAGAGCAGTAGGGATGGGAGGCAACGTCACTGACAGCGGTGTTGAAGATGTAGTTGGGCACGACGATGGCGAATTGACATTCACTTTTAACAGCCTAAAAGAAGTTGTCAGGCAACTCACAGCGGTGTTGAAGATGTAGTTGGGCACGACGATGGCGAATTGACATTCACTTTTAACAGCCTAAAAGAAGTTGTCAGGCAACTCACAGCGGTGTTGAAGATGTAGTTGGGCACGACGATGGGCGAGTTGTCGTCGGCCTCGAGCTTGGTCTGCAGGAAGCCGATCTCTCTCACGCGCCCCGTCACACTGCCCGCCTTGATCTTGTCGCCCACCACAAACGGCTGCGTCAGGAACAGGATGAGCCCGCCAAAGAAGTTGGTCACTATCTCCTTGGACGCGAACCCAATCGCCACACCTGGGAAAGTTTGTGGTGAGGGAGGAAGGGGAAGGGTGGGAAAGGTGATAAGGGAGAGTGGCATTTGAGTGGGCACACAACAGGATGAGCCCGCCGAAGAAGTTGGTCACTATCTCCTTGGACGCAAACCCGATGGCCACACCTGGGGAAGATTGTGGCGAGGGAGGGAGGGAGGGAGGGAGGGAGGGAGGGAGGGAGGGAGGGAGGGAGGGAGGGAGGGAGGGAGGGAGGGAGGGATGGATGGAGGGAGGGAGGGAGGGAGGGAGGGAGGGGGGAGGGTGGGATAGGTGAAAAGGGAGAGTGGCGTTTGAATAGGCACACAACAGGATGAGCCCGCCAAAGAAGTTGGTCACTATCTCCTTGGAGGCGAACCCAATCGCCACACCTGGTGGGGGGAGATGGGGGACGGGAAGGTTAGGGAAAAAAGGGGGGGTTTAGGAAAAGGGAGGGTGTTGAAGGGGTGGGGGCGCGTGGGAGAGCAGAGGAAAGAGTGGCCTTTTAGGGGGACATTAAGATGGTCACTATCTCCTTGGAGGCAAACGCAATGGCCACACCTGGGGGGTGTTAATGGGGGAGGGGACAATCAGAGAAAAAAGGGGGGAATATAGGAAAAGGGAGGGGTGCGACAAAAGGGGGGAAAGGTTGAGTGGGCTCAGACTTATGGCAGGAGAGGTTTGGCAGATGGACGGGCTGGCGGTTTCGCGTGGAGAGAGAGAGTAGGGATGGGAGAGGAGCAGCGATGAAGCAAGGGGTGCGAGACTAGGAGAGAATGAGGGGAGAGGGGGACGACAGCTGCTGCTGGGTGGTTGTGAGCGGACTTGCTGGGACGTGGCAGGTAGAATGATTGGGAGCGATGTGGACTTGGGAAGAAAACATGACGCTCTCACATCACATCACCCATTTGAGATGCCTCTCAACACAACACCCACCTGAGATTCCTCCCACAGCGATGAGCGACTTGAGGCTGAAGCCCATCATCTCTGCCAGCGTGCCCACCGCCGCCACCCGCAGCAGCAGTGTCAGCAGCTTGCTCACGTTCGCCAGAACTGGCTGCGGGTGGGGGATGGGGGAGCATGGAGCAGGTATGGAGAATGGGTGGGATGATGGGCATGGGGGCCAGGGAGGGGGCATGGAGAGGGCCAAACGCACGCCCCACTCACCTATTTCGTCCAGCTTGCCACCCATGCTCCACTTTGTCTTAACGCCCCAAACCCCATCTCGCCCTCACTCACCTTATCCTCGGAGTGAGAAGCAGCCACAAGCTTCATGGCTCCGTCCTTCTACCCCGTAAGGAAACCCGTAGCTGCTGCCACTGCCATCATTGCTACCGCTGCTACTGTTCGCACCTTGTCCCTCATCTATCCCTCTCATCTCCCCCATCTTGCCCACCTTGACCTTACACCCCATCTCGACCTCACCTTGTCCCCCATCGTGAGCAGCAGCCACGAGCTTCAAGACGCGGTCCTTCCACCCCGTCGCAAACCACGTTGCTGCAGCCACCGCTGCCGCCACTGCTGCCACTAGCCCAATGTGTCCCTCTTCCCGAGCCCATCTTCTCAGCTTGACCCCAAAGCCCCATCCCTCGTCCCTGCCTTGCCCCTGCGCCTCACCTTATCCTCGGGGTGAGAAGCAGCCACGAGCTTCAAGACGCGGTCCTTCCATCCCGTCGCGAACCACGTGGCAGCCGCCACCCATGCCACCAGCCGCGCCTTCCCCACCATTGCTGCTGTCACGGGCAGCTTCAGCAGCGGCACCAGCAGGCGCAGGCTGGCAAATACAGGTGGGGAAGATAGGGTGAGAGGGGGGAAACGGTGATTGTAGCAGGCGGGGGGCATAGGGGGATGGATAGGGGAAGGCCACACATTTTCCCCACCATTGCCGCTGCCACTGGTAGTTTCAGCAGTGGCACCAGCAGGCGCAGGCTGAAAGCACTCACAAGAAGGGATAGGGTGATTGACAAGGAGAGTGGCAGAGGATGGAGCAGCGCGAAAGGCGGGAGGAGATTGAGAAGTGGGGAGGAGAGTGAGAGGTGGGGAGGAGAGTGAGAGGTGGGGAGGAGAGTGAGAGGTGGGGAGGAGAGTGAGAGGTGGGGAGGAGAGTGAGAGGTGGGGAGGAGAGTGAGAGGTGGGGAGGAGAGTGAGAGGTGGGGAGGAGAGTGAGAGGTGGGGAGGAGAGTGAGGAGTGGGGAGGAGAGTGAGAAGTGGGGAGGAGAGTGAGAAGTGGGGAGGAGAGTGAGAAGTGGGGAGGAGAGTGAGAGGTGGAGGAGGAGAGTGAGAGGTGGGGAGGAGAGTGAGAGGTGGGGAAAAGGAGAGTGAGAGGCGGCGAGGAGGAGAGTGAGAGGTGAGGAGGAGGAGAATAAGAGGCGACTGACTGGCGGGTGAGGAAGAAGGAGATGAGGACGAACTGCAGCGGCCCCACGAGCGCACCGAACATGCTGTCCTGAAACTCCTCCTCCGTCACCTCGTCGTCGCGCATGATCAGCGTCCCCCACACGCTGCCAGAAGCCGAGGGGGAGAGGGGAAAGGGCGGGTTGTGGGAGGGAAGGGAGGGCGGATGAATGCACCAAACACGCTAAGTTGCGGAGGCGGTGAGTGGGCACGTCTGAGGGTGAGTGCACCGAACATTGTGCATGGTGCATTCGGCAGAGAGCATTGTGCATGGGGCATTGGGCATGGGGCAGTGGGTATGGGGCGTCGTGCTTGAGGCATGGGGCATGGAGGATTGGACAGCACTGATCATGGTGCGAGGTGGGGGGACATGGTGCATTGAGAATCTTCTCCTACTGATTGACGAGGCGGCATACCTTCTCACTGGTTGACGAGGCGGCATATCCTCTTACTATTTGACGAGGCGGCATGTTGTCTTACTAGTTGACGAGGCGGCAGATCTTGGGCGCGTTGAAGAAGATGGCAGCAGTGGCGAGCGCGATGATGGTCTCTCTCAGGGCCAGCACCACCTGATGGGGGGTGTGCATGCGTGCACACGTATACACACATCCACGTACACATGCACACATGCACGCACGCATGCAACGCACACATGCAACGCACGCATGCACGCACACATGCACACAGACCCGCGCGCACGCACACGCATTCGCACACACGCAGGAGCGCACGCACGCATGCGCAGGCACGCGCGCGCGCGCGCACGCACACAGATACATACAGACATTAAGGAAAGGCACAAGCGAAGGCATGTCTTGCATGGTCTATGTATCTCCTCCCCATTCCGTTCTTCTCGAAAATGCAATTTACTAACCCTCCCTTCGCCGTCGTCCCCACATTCCCACCGTCCCCACAATTCCCATGCTCCCCCATCCCGCGTCCTCCCCCCATTCCCATTACTTCCCCCCTCTCCTATTCTTTCCCCATCCTTCACAGTTCTTCCCCATGCCTCCGCGCCTCACGGTCAGCGCTGTGAGCCCATGCTGTCGGTCATTCCCCATCCCCCCCCCCCATCCCTTCCTCCCCACATTCCCCATCCACTCCCCATTCCCCATCCTTCCCCTTCCACCCACCCCTCCCCACGCCTCCGCGCCTCACCGTCAGCTCCGTGAGTCCCATGCTAGCGGCCGTCCCGGCCGGCACGAGCGCCGAATACGCCGCAACGGCCACGCGCGTCAGCAGCCCGCCGTCCGCCACCGCCGCTGGAGCGGCGGCAGCGGCGCACACTGTCGGTCGCCGCGACGGAAGGGGCGCGCGGAGCGGGCGGCATTTGGAAGGCGCGAGGGGGAGGGGAGAGGCTCGGAGTGGTGCCGAGAGGCGCAGGGAAGCGCGGGGCGACGCGGCGAGCTGCGGGGGGAGAGGGGAAAGAAAGGGGGGAGGGGGGAGAGAAAAGGGGGGAGTGGGTGGGGGGGGAGAGGGGGGGGGGGGGAGGGGGGGAAGAAAAGGGGGACGGGGGAGTGGGGGGAGAGGAAGAGGAAAGAAGGGGAAGTGTGAGTGGCGGTGGAAAGATGAGGAACGAGTGGAGAGCATTGGGGAATGGGTAGGGGACGGTGGAGGAATAGCGCGAGACAAACAGTCGCTGCGATCGAGTGGAAGCACGAACAAGCAAAAACGCGTGACAGCTGAGTGTGAAGCTAAGTGGCAATGCTGCTACGGCCGGGTGACATTCTAGGAAGGGGACAGCATGCAAGTTATGCCCATGGCGATAGGCTTCTACGAGCCAAGTATTTTCGCCGCAAGAGAGCGGCGAAGGCTGGAATGAGAAGATGGACCCGCGGCGAGGGGGGGAATGCACGGAGGCAAGAGAGCCGCCAAGGCGGGAATGCAAGGCGAGACAATAACGGAGGACGAAGCACGTTTCCGTGGCGCCTTAAAAGAAAATGGAAAGGAAGGGGGGAGGAATTTTCTCACGGAACGACGATTCTCTCCGCCGCACACGGCGGCAGCGACGGCGTGGTTCACGGAGAGCGACGACGCAACAGCGGAAGCCATGGCTGAACGAACGACGCGCAGGAAGGCGGGAGACCGGAAGTAGAATGTAATTACCCTACGTTGCCAAGCAACCGAGTTCGTACTAGGAAACTAATGATCAATGGGCAGCAATCAAATGTACGGATACATATTGGGCTCAGCATGAACAAGGGCCTTCCATTTGATGAACGATGGGTCCATCGCGACCAATTCCCAGCCCATACCTCGATTTCCCTCCCAGACCAATTTCGGGTGCCGTGCCGAGCCGAAGCTAGTGCACCAGTTGACTGAGGTCGGCACTGCCAACGGTCCAGATCACCTGTTTCTTGGTGCTCCTGATCTGAAGGGCGTGTGGTGTGCTGGCTTCGTTTGATATGACTGGTTGGCTGCATGCATGGCTCTCGTGGGTTGGCTGAGAAGCTCGCAGATGATCATTCTTTGATTTTCGCAGGGCGGGAAGCCGTTCCAATATCGAGGAACGGTCAAGACCAACTGACAAAGTCGTGAGCTAAGAAGCACAGAAACAAGAGTAACACTAAAGGAGGGAGGGAAATCAGTAACTAAGGCAGACGCAGCAGGAGACGAGAACTGTTATGAGTTGTAAAAGAGAGTGCGCAGGTAAAACGAATAACGAGACTGATTGAATGAACTGAGAATACAATGAATGCACTAACTAATGTAGGGCTAGCCTAGCTAGGAGGAAACCTCGGCCGAGCGAGGTTGGGTGCAGGTTTGGCGATGGAAATGCCGAAGGCGACGCGAGGAGCCTCGACAGCGTTGAAATCGGCCGAACGTGCGAACTCTGAAAATCGGGTTGTACTCGAAGCAGTCAACCCCGATAAGGAATTTGGGAAAAATCCTTACACCACCACCCCCCCCCCCCCCCCCCCCCCCCCCCCCTTAAGAAAGGCAGTCAATATCCGAAACACGCCTTCGCGCCAGGTAATCACCAACAAGTGGCGAGGCGTCGAGCGAGGCGGATGGCACCCACGTGTCGTCCTCACTGGTGCGGTCAGTCCAGCGAATTAAGAAATCCACGTGTCGGCCAGCTGCGTCGAGGCGGACCCGATGAGCGAGGATTTTGGAAGGGTCAAGGGTCGGCTCCGGGACATGTCGTGCCGTCGGGGCAGCGTGCTGACGTGCCATGTCGGTCGTTGCTGGCACGAACTTTCGAAGAAGGCTGACGTGGAAGGCGTCATGAATGCGCTAGTCGTCGGGTAGCAACAGCTTCGCGGTGACAGGTGTCACCATCTTGAGAATCTTGAACTGTCCGCAAAATCGTGGCCGTAGTTTCGATGGACCAGGCAGGTGCAGGTTCTTAGTGTGAAGTATGTCAAACATTATATATGTTGTGTTAGTTTAGGCTACAGTGGGTTAGCCTATAGGGGGTACACAATTCTAGGTTTAGGTACTTGTACTCATTTCACTGTTAGTTCATTCATTCCTGTTCAGTTATTCCAACATGGTATAGAGCAGGTCCTTCTTAGGACCGAAATTTTCTAAGGGCCCACCACTACGTAATTACCTATCTACCTACCTGCTTGCGCCCTAGGGCGCCTCGGCGTGTCACGCCCCTAGAGGCCCCTCTTGACGGCCCCGCGCTAGCCCCGTTCAGGCCCCGTCGGCCCCACGCCCGCTCTCCCTAGCGGCCCCGTTCAGGCCCCGTCGGCCCCTTTAAGGCCCCGATCGGCCCCGCGCTAGCCCTGTTCAGGCCCCGTCGGCCCCGTTTCAGGCCCCGTCGGCCCCGCGCTAGCCCCTTACAGCCCCGTCGGCCCCGTGCTAGCCCCGTTAAGGCCCCGATCGGCCCCGCGCTAGCCCCGTTCAGGCCCCGTCGGCCCCGTTTTAGGCCCCGTCGGCCCCGTTTCAGGCCCCGTCGGCCCCGCGCTAGCCTCGTTCAGGCCCCGTCGGCCCCGTTTCAGGCCCCGCCGGCCCCGCGCTAGCCCCTTTCAGGCCCCGTCGGCCCCGTGCTAGCCCCGTTCAGGCCCCGTCGGCCCCGTGCTAGCCCCGTTAAGGCCCCGATCGGCCCCGCGCTAGCCCCGTTCAGGCCCCGTCGGCCCCGTTTCAGGCCCCGTCGGCCCCGCGCTAGCCCCTTTCAGGCCCCGTCGGCCCCGTGCTAGCCCCGTTCAGGCCCCGTCAGCCCCGCGCCAGCCCCGCTCAAGCCCCGATCGGCCCCGCGCTCGCCTCTCTAGGGCCCCAAGCCGCCTCGACGACCAGTGCCCGCGGTCTCTAGAGGCCCCAACCGGCCTCGTGCCCGCCGCTCCTAGAGGCCCCGGGCGGCCCATTCCCGCCGCAGCCCATGACCGCACCGAGCCGCGTGACCCGAGCCGCGCGACCCGAGCCGCGCGCCCCGAGCCGAGCCGCGCGACCCAGCCGAACCACGCGACCCGACCTGAACCGAGCCGCGCCGCCCTGCCCTCACTGGTTCGTCCTACCTGCTTCTCCTACTGCTACTGCTGCTATTTCTGCTGTTCCTATGGCTAGCCCACAGGTTCTCGTGTTCGATACTGAGGGCCGCCCTGTGAAGTTTGACACCTGGCTCGATGACCTGCACCTCTACCTATAGCTCACAGCCAAGGATGACATCTCACTGTACGATCACGCCCTAGGCCATGTCACTGCCCCTGCTGCTACTGCTGACAGCACTGCTCGCTCACAGTGGCAGACTCGTGATGCCCACGCTCGCTTCGCTATTCGCAACTCCCTGCCGATAGACGAACGCAAGCACTTTGGTCAGCACAAGACTGCACATGCACTGTACACAGCTGTAGTTGCTCGCTACTCCTCACCTGCCTCTGCCGCACTAGGCCGTCTCTCCCTCCCCTACCTGTTTTCCGACCTGGCCTCCTTTCACACAGTCGCTGACCTCATCACGCACCTCCGTACTAGTGAGGCCCGCTTCCGTGCCGCCATGCCTGCTGAGTTCCTTGCCACGCACCCCCCTCCACTCTGGCTCACTCTCTACCACCTAGTCACCTGCCTCCCTGACACACTGCGTGCTGTCAGGGACCACTTCCTAGCTTGTTGCCCCACTGAGCTCACCATTGCCCTCCTCGAGAAGGAGCTACTTGCAGCTGAGACTAGCATAGTCGCTGTAGGTGCCTCTCGTGGCGACCCCCGTACCCCGTTCTTTGAGGGGTGTTCTCCTTCCCCCCTTCTTCCCTCTGTCGCCTCTGCTGCTGCTATCGACCTTCTCGGTGCTGAGAGGGTCGGCGCTGCGTCTGCCTCGAGCGGGCGCCGCAGCGGCAAGGGCAAAGGGGGCAAGGGTGGTGGCGGTGACGGCGGGGGAGGTGGCGGTGGGGGCGGTGGAGGCAGTGGGGGTGGTGGCTCGGCTGGAGGGGCGAGTGGTAGCGGTGGGGGTGGTGGCTGGCAGCGGCGGGGGAGGTGGCAGGAGTGGAGGCGGCGGTTGGGGTGGCGGTGGACGAGGCGGCGGCAGGGGTTGGGGTGGTCGAGGAGGTGGCAGCGGTGGTGGTGGCCGTGGAGGCGCTGGCGGTGGCCAGGGCCAGCAGCACACTCCTTTGCCCCAGGAGGTCCGTAAGTGGTACTCTCACCACGGGGGTGGGGGTGGTCTTAGCTGCACGTACGTCATTCGCACTAGTGACTGCACTGGTCAGCAGTGTGGACGACCGCACGCCACACAGCGCTGCTTCTTCGTCTCGACGACGCTTGGCGTATTCAGTTCCCTCAGGCCACTGAGCTGCCCCGCTGGCTTGATCTCCTGAAGAAGGGGATTGATATCTATGCTCTAGACTTTGATGCTATTCTATCTGCCATGTATGTGATGTCAACTAGTGGAGAGGGTGCTGAGTACTTGTGTGTGCCGCCCGACCCGGGCATTAGGGCCAGTGCGTCTGCCGCTCCAGGTACTCGCGTGTCGGCTACCCCAGGTGCTGGTGAGGCTGCTGCTCTAGGTGCTCATGTGTCTCCCCCCCTTGGTACTGCGTCGGCTGCAGCACTGCACACCTTCACACTGGTCTCAGGTGCTTCTCGTTGCTTCTTTCGTGACCGCACTGCCCTTGAGCCGCTTGCTCGGCCAGTTGCTGTCTCCCTTGCTGACCCCTCTGGGGGTCCGGTCATTGTGACCTCTTCCACTGTCCTTCCCTGTCCTGCGGTCCCGTCGGGCACACTGTCAGGTCTCCACCTCCCCTCGTTCTCTACGAACTTGGTGGCAGGATGTGCGCTCCAGGACGAGGGTGTTCACCAGTTCACCCCTGCCTACGAGCGCGTGACACACTGCACGTGTGCTCGTACGGGCCGTCACTTGGCTACCTTCACTCGGCAGCCGGGGTCGGACCTGTACACACTGACTACTGAGTCCCCTCAGGTTGCTGCGTTTGCGTCCGCGTCCGCGTCAGGTCAGCTGTCCGCCCCCTGCTCGTGTCGCTCTCTGGCACACGAGACTGTCCTCTGGCACCACCGCCTTGGCCACCCGTCTGTGCAGCGGCTTCGTGCCATGCACTCCCGGTACCTTGTCTCTGGCCTGCCCAGGGTCCTTCCTGCCCTCCCACCCTCGCCTGCTTCTACCTGTCTCCCCTGTGTCGAGGGACGGCAGCGCGCCGCTCCTCACTCCTCCTCGTTCCCCCCGACGACTGCTCCCTTGCAGACGCTCCACATGGAGGTGTGGGGCCCAGCCCGCGTCCGTGGTCAGGGTCAGGAGAGGTACTTCCTGATAGTTGTTGACGACTACTCGCGCTACACCTCGGTCTTCCCCTTGCGCACCAAGGGTGAGGTCCCTGATGTCTTGATCCCTTGGATCCGCAGAGCCCGTCTCCAGCTCAGCGAGCGTTTTCACTCGGACTTTCCTGTCCTACGCTTGCACTCTGACAGAGGTGGTGAGTTCTCCTCCGACCTCTTGGCAGCCTACTGTGCTGAGCACGGCATTGAGCAGTCGTTCACGCTTCCGGCCTCTCCACAGCAGAATGGGGTTGCGGAGAGCCGCATTGGTCTGGTCATGGAGGTCGCCCGTACCTCCTTGATCCATGCGGCTGCCCCCCACTTTCTATGGCCGTTTGCAGTCCGGTACG